ATTCTGGAGAAAAGGTTGAAAAGCTTTTCCACTTGCCTATCTCAAAGTTCACCTATCAAGTTCATATAAAAATCTTTTCAAAGTATTTTAGTTTAAGCTGCTCATCTAAAACTTGGTGTTACTGAATGAGTTGTCCTTCTGATTCCGACACTGCTTCCTGCTGTTGTGCATAGAAAACAGACTTGTTTTGGTCTGGCAGTAATTTGCTTTAAATGTTACTGTCTAAAGTCATTACCAACTCCTCGGGGGTTTTTTGAGGTGCATGAAAAACAATCCTCTAGCACATCTCTCATTCCAGGAATACCTTATTTGTTCTGGTTGAATATGTACTAGGCTTCTTCTAGATGAAAACAGATGAAAATTTCCAAAATAAGAGCTTACAGTCTGTGCATGTTTGCTGCTAATGTCCTTAATGAGAGCACTCAGACTTTAGATGGTAGTAGCTACCCATATTTGATTTGATTGCACCATATTCCCTGTTGATTAAATGATGGGAGTGATGTTACTTCCACGTAACAAAATGGCTGTTCTTTCCCTTTGCAATTCTAATTTAAAAAAAAAAAAATTCTTCATTGCACTGCACTGATGTTGTTTTGTGTTTTCTCCTTCAAGTTAATCTCTGCACATTTTTTTTTAAATTTGATAATTTTTATCTGAAAGGAATACATTCCTCCAGTATTCTGGGATAAAGTACCTGGGGTAAGTATTAGTTTCAGAGAATGATGAGGGAAAGAAACAACCACCTTTATCACCTAGTGGTAGAGGCCCTAATTTTTTCCCTTGGATGGATTTCCTTAGATGGGAACAGCTGGAAAATTGATTTCTTATTGAATTCACAATTTTTTTTTCTAGCACTGAAAATTACTTTTTTGTTAAAAACTGTTTTTACCCTCTTCTTTCTTCCACTGTTGTTCTTTGAAATATTGTTCGATTTCCCTAAAAAGGGTCCAAACACTAGTCTGTCAGTGTCGCTGCCATCAGATTTTAACTTAAAGCCACCATTTCCTATTCCCCACCAACATGGATGTGTTTAGAGTACTGTTATAATTAGAAAGAAGCACTGATGAGCAAGACTTAGCATGATTTATAATGTTTTGGGTACTACAGATGCTTTGGCAAGGATTGCTTTTATAATTTTTTGACCTGTGATAGTAACTTAATGTATTTGAAGGGTGCTTATTTACCCATTGCCTTTGATTCTGTTCGTGAAAAGTGTCTGCAGTTCACAGGGAGAAATTCCAGTTACCAGTGCTGCTCTTTGGATTTATCTCAACTGTGGGCACTATCATTGAGACCACTGCAGATAGAACCTCTCTTTAAGAAGAAATGCTTATAGGTTGCCTTAATAAGGGAGCTTATTACTAAGATTTGAGATTTTACAGAATAGTTTCATACTCTTTTCAAATGATCTGTCTTGATTCCGTTTATAGAGTGAAGATACGATCTTGTTTGGCCTTTTGGTTTTTGGACTGGAATAGGAAATATGGCTTTGCCACTAAGCTTTCTAATATCTGAGTGTCTTTAGGAATAGCTCTTTTATGATTTGTGTAATATGAATAGAGAGAGAAGGCCATTGTATTGCATTTGGTAGGTAGTAGAAATGTAGACACTGTCATCCATGTGAAGAATAATGGCTTTAGATATAAAAATGAGTGCTTTCGTAAGTACCTGAAAGATGCCAAAAAATCAGCGGGAAAAATGCAATGAAAGATTCTTATGGAGGTGTAGTTCTTCCTGTATTATAGAAATCTATATAGCAATGCTTGTACTCAGTAGAATGTACTTAGTACAGTGGTGTACTTTAGTACAGGATATCTGTGCATATAAGTTCTGTCCTGTCCATTTTCATTATATATGTGTAAAAATGAGTTATTTTCATTTAAGTTAGCGTGTTATTTTATAGTAATGAAACATGCCAGATGGCCAAGGATATTTCACCTAAATACTAAATGAAGTCAAAGAAAACATTTACTGAAACCACAAGAGGTCTGATTCAGAAAGAAAGTACTCAAGTAGTGTGGATCTAATTTAAAATGTAAAACATTCTGCATTGGCTGACCCTATTTGTAACCTCCTGAAAGAGCAAGTTTTCAAATAGTGTATGACTAAGAGCAAATACTGTCAGACCTAATTCAGGGAAAGCTCTGAAACATACTTCAGCTGCCCCTGCCTAATTGCTACTTCAAGGGAACTGTGCACAGTAAACACATTTTGGAATTTGAATATCTTATCTCTTAACAGAACAAGCCATTGAAAGCAAAACCATTCTATTTTTGGAACATGTTGCACATGTTTATCTCTGTTTCAGTGTAAACTTTGGAGTTTATAACTGCAAATATTAGGGGAAAAGTCTTTACTGTGAGGGTGGTGAGGCACTGAAACAGGTTTCCCAGAGAGATTGTGCATGGCCCATCCCTGGAAGTGTTTAAGGCCAGGTTGGATGGGGCTCTGAGCAGCCTAGTCTAGTGGAAGGTGTCCCTGCCCATGTCACACAGCTTGATCTTTAAGGTCTTTTCCAACCCAAACCATTCCCTAATTCTGTGAAATATGGAAATAAAAAGGAATTGATCTATTTAAGCAGATTATAGTAATCACAACAGCACATTTTGATAGCTTTAATTCTGAGTGACTGGAGTCCCGTGTATAAACTACAAACCAGATATCTTTCCATTCAAGGCTTACAAGAGCCACCTTCAACAATATTATAATGCAGGGTCTAATTTCAGCAGTGCTGAACTTTTAAGTAGCTCACAAAGTGGTGAACAGTAGTGAGTCCTGGGAAAAAGTTCTCTGGAAGAGGAATGCGAATACTAGAAACACTTCAGTCTCATATAGCATGGACTTCCTCAAATTTTCCTTTTGTTATGCTGGACATTTTGGGAAGGATCTCCTTATTTCAAAACTACTTTGTTCCTTTGTCTTCAAGAAGTCAGTTACACCATAATTTCAAAGTAGTCTGTTATCCCCTTTCCTTCATGATCAAAATAGTTTACACAGATGTGAATAATGGGAATGATTGCTTAAGAATTCTCCAATGATTCCTTAGTGGCAAAGCTTTCCTGACATGTTAGAAGATTAATTTCAGTCCTCTGCTTTCATTTGTTGCCACTGCTGGATACGCACAGCCTGAAGTTTGGAAGCTCGTCTTAGGGATGGCTCATTCACAGTTGGGAGATTCTATGAGAGGAGACCAAATGTCATGTAAATGTTCTGGAAAAGAGCAAATAAGTTGGCTCAGGCAGATTCAACTGTTGATCAAGGTCTGTATTGTTAACAGATGTCTGTATATTGCATCAATAAGTAATAAGGTGCTTGTTTGGAGTAACTGCCAGGAGGCAGTGGTTTGGGGGATTGGTCTGTGGCTTATCAAGAGAAACTCGTATTTGATAAGCAAGAAAACACTAAGACTTCTAATTTTTAGTTTCAGGACAGTGAATTACTGAAAGAGAAAACGCATTTCCTTTTCAAGTGGGACACTACTTATCCATGGATCTCTGTGCAGCAGACAATTGGAAGAATTCTAGTTTCTTCTTCCCAGCCAATGAATAGAGTCACTCATTTGTGCTGGCCAGTATTCACAGACAGCCTTCTCCTAATCACTGCTGGGAAACAATTATTTGCACTGATCTAGCAGTGGTGAAGCTACATTGATGGACAGATTGCCTGTTTTCCATATAAACTTGCTAAAAGCTCTCAGGAATTTTATTTTCCTATCAGTTATTTTGAGGATGTCACTGGCTTCTGCTGTGGAAAGCTTTTCTTACCATGCCTAGAAAGCTGTCAGATTCCCATCACTGGAGATGTTTTCAACTAGAGTTGGACAATCCATCATTTATCATTCCTATCTAATTGCTACTACTGGCCAGTTTTGTTTTCTGTCATTGCTGAAAGATTCTTAAAGGTTCCTTTTCCTGGAAATGTTGGTTCTTTATGAAACTTGATCCTTACATTGCCAGGGTTTGATACACACTTACTCAGAAAATACTGTATATATATAATATTTATATGATGAGGATGCCTGATTTTAATTTTTCTGGTCCCTCAGTCTTCAAAGTGTCTTCTCATTAGGTCAGACTCATCTTGCAAAAGCTGGAGAAGATACCCCTAAATATCCATTAAGGTCTTTGGATATTTGGATAGGATTTGAATATTAGGATTTACTATGAATCAATACAAAGGATATGCCATTTCTACTTTTCCTTTGTTTAGCTCAGGTATATTATTAGACAAAACAGTAAATTGATGACAGTTCCTTGGATTTCTATAGTTGATCCTTCTCTGGGAAAACACAGCATAATTGTCACTTGTTTTTATCTTCAGCTACAAACCATACAGAAGTTTGAGTTAGTGCTTTGTTCAAATGGTGTTTAAATCCAGTGCTGTTTTGGGAGGAGTGTTACAGTGTATACTTACATAGTGTGAATAATGTGGAGAGGAGTAAGAAATCCTTTACTTCTAGTTTCTTAATGGCTGCTAAACTCCCACAAGTTGAAGAGCATACACAGGGCATTCAAAGTAGCAAAACCATCCTTCTTTCTAGTCTTATTTCTGGGAAACTTCTTTCCTATCTGTAATCTACATAGAAAATTGAATTTATTATCCAGAAATAAGTCAGCTACCTAAGTCAGGTACATAATATTTATTCAGATGTTTTGATTCCTGAGATGCGTCCCAGAGCTTTCCTGAAGATTGGTAGTTCACTCAAATTCAAGACCATGAGGGTATGAAATGTTTGTACTGCCTCTGCACAAGCCAGGTTAAATGAAGAAAAATCTTTTAAAGCATATTGCCAATAGTTCAAAATACCCTTTAAGAAATTATGTTCCTAGATTTGTAGATGGAAGTAGTCTCTATTAGTATTAAAATTTTGCCACTTCATGATGTACATATGCCATACATACATTTCAGGAGAAATTGTCTTTCATAGGTGGAACTCAGTTACTACTTTGTTTCTGGAGTGTGCTTGTGGTTAATATTACATTTCTTTTACATCATTTCAGGAGTATGATGATGGCTATGGAGCTGCTTATGATGAACAAAGCTATGATTCTTATGATAACAGCTATAGCACTCAAGCACAAAGGTAAGCCTCCAAATCAACTGTAACTACTTTTGAAAAATTCTGTGGTTAGCCAGTTAGTTTTACTTAAAGGTTTTCAAAACAACAAAAATTTTGAGAGGCTTTTTAGAAATAACTACCTGTGTTAGTTGTTTTTAGTATCACATAAGTATAAAAGTTAAGTTTCTCAGTGTCTGAAAAAAAAAACAAACCAGAACTGATAACTTGAAACAGTTTTAGTGATGCCAAATCATAAATCAGAAAGTTTTCAAAAGTTCAGGAAATTCAAGAAAACTTAATTCAGATTCATTTTAGGAGGGAGGAGTAAGCAAGGAGGGGAGAGGAGGAAAAGAAACTTAAAAAAGGTATTAAATCTCCCGAAACATGAAACTGATTGCATTTCCTTACTACTTTTAACAAGGTTATATTCCAGTATTTTACCTTTATTTGACTGTAATAACAGTACACCCTTGTGTGTGTTTTACTTCTCTGTGGAATTCCTTGTGACAAATTTGAATTGCTTGTCACTTGTTTCCTTCCCCCACTTCATTCTCAGCAGTATTTTTAAGCACTTCTTATTTATTTATTTAAAATTTTACTTTCTTCAAAGGAGTCACTATTTGGCAATTCCATGAATTACAAAAAATACTAATGTGTCCCAGCGTTGGGAAAAATACTATGAAGTAAATATATGCTTCCTATAGGTAGAACTTAATGGCAAAAATCACATAACAGACATAGCAGCTTGGTTGATCATTCCTGCTGTTGGGTACTTCCAATGTGCCTGTCTCAAAAAGGAACTTCTGTACACCTTTTACTGAATTGTAATTTATTTTCACTATTTTCTCTTGGACCAAGCTTTTGTAATTTGCTCAGTAGTAGATTTTGTAATGTCTTTGAGAATGTTTTGAAACTTTTATGGCAGTGTTATGACATGTCTCTGAGGCAGGGTAACTGAGGTTCCTGTTAATAAATACTTTGGGGTGAATTAGAGTAAAATGACACTGAATGGCAGGTGTATATGAGGCCAGATGTATTTTAAAACAATTTAATTGCAGCAGAATTAGGTAGCCATTTTGTTTTTTTCTATAAAAGTATCAGGAAGTAATACATAAGGAAAAGAGAGAGAAGGAAAGGATAATAGTAGATTGTGGAGAGGAAAGATAACAGTAGATTGTGGATCCAGTGATGAGACTTAATTGTTGTGATTTTGATTGTCCATGATCTGTGATGGTCTCAGTCTTGATCTGTTGGGAATGGGGCCCTGCCAAGCAAAAGGTTCCTCGTTATATACATTAAAATTAACCTGAGCCCCTCCTCAGGGAGGGAGTTCTTTGCTGTAACACTGAGGCACATGCAGTCTGCAGATGGAGAGTTTTCAAAAGAGTTGGGGGGTCACTTTGTAGTCCTTGTTGGTTTCAGTCCCCCTCTATTGGTCTTGCCTGTTCCTTGACCCCACTTCTGTACTTTCATTGTATATTGTGTGGTCACCATGGACCTGAGCAGGAAAATTGGCTCCAGTCAGGTGCTGCCCTACCTTTGCATGGTCCCCCTTTCCAGGCACATCCTGTTCTAACTTGCTCACTTGAATGGTCATCAGTGTTTGAGGCACAGCAATGCATTAACTCCTTACTGTCCAGGCTTCTGCAAGCAAAAAAAACCCTTAAAATTGTTGAAACAATAGTGTTCAGAAAATTATAAAATAAAATACTATAGATTTACATTACTGCTTTAGTTATTTTGGCTGATTAGAGCATCAAACTTTGCCCACTGCAAAGATGGCAATAGAAGAGGAAGATGAGATGTTGATAAATAGATGGTTCTTGGCCTGTTTTATGTTCTGCTACATATGTAAGGTTTACAATGGAGCTTTATCTGAAATAGTACAGAACTGTTCACAGCAAAGTTGAGAATAAAGCTCTTTACACCTGGCATCTGCTTTTCTGTACTGTTGTCACAACCAACTCCAATTTTGTTGTGTAAATGAATATTTTTCTGTGCTCAACAACTTAGTGTGAAAAAACACAGTGGAAAGTACCAGTGTAGTTATTGTTGAGAACTAAAATAATGAAATTACCTTTGTCTGATACTTGGCTGCTACAGCTTCTAAGCTACTGAAAATTGATAAAAATAATATGACTTAAGAAACCAGCAGTGTAGTCTCAAAAATATGAGATTCTGTAGTGTTACATTTCGAGAGCAGCTGTTGGTAATGGATTTTTTTTTTTTTCCCCAAAAGAAAATTGCCAAAGTAGTCCTCAACTTTTATGTTGGTAATTCTGTTCTGGTTTACTGCTCCTAGTGTTGGTAAATGGGTTTATTGCATGCAAACATTTGGACTTCATTACAGAGTCATTTGCCCGAGCCAAAACTAAACATTACTTGGATTTGATTTTTTTTTTCATGGTAAGAAAGTTTTCACTGGCATTTTCTTCCTTTGAACTAAAATTAGGAAAGAAACCAATTTCCCAAGGAATGAAATTGCTGTTGTAAAGGATTAATACATAAGAATGTATAATACTCTTGGATATATGTGCACATGCTTAATTGTCTAGAAGGAGATACTTCATAAAATGATTGCTGTACTTTGTATTTTACCTGTAGTTTCACAATACATATATTGTTAGATTTTCATGAAATTGTTGTCTTTGGAATGATTACTTGACTTTTTTTCCCCCCTAATTTTATCAAGTGTTCTGTGGTAAAAGAAAACATGAAATTATTCACTGGCACGTTTCTCACACGATATCAGTTCTCATTTTCTTGCATATTTTCTGGCTTGCAAAAAGATTTTTGAGATAGTATTGGCAGGCAAAAAAGTAATAACTATAAACAGCCATCTGAGCTACCTAGACCTGCATTCCTGTCTTTAATCAGAATATTGAGTAGTAGCCCACATTGCAAAATGTCATTGTGTAACCATTATGAGATACTTATCATATTTAGGTTCATTACAATGCCCTTACTATGAAGGAAATTAAGGGAAAGTGCATTGTTTTGATAGCTTAGCCTTATATCATTCTTGATATTTTGCCCTCATAAAACATGGAAGGAAACTGCATTTGCACATGGAGGGCATTCACGTGTTTAAAATGCATCATTTAGTGACCAGCATGTGGAAACAACTTACTCTCTTTCCATTTCTAAGTTGAAAATACTGATCTTGAAGTATTTCTGTATGCCTTCTGCTACTGATTTTTCTAGAAATATTGTAATATTAATGATATTGTGTATTAAAGGGGAAATTTGAGAAACAGCTATTAAACTGAAAATGAGTTGGCTCGTTAAATTACTTGCAATAGTTTTTAGTATATAACCAAGTTTGCGTGCAGGAACAGGGTTTAATGTTCACAAATGTACACATTGTGTGATATGTTGGAGGCAGTGGAAATACTCTTTTCTGTTTTAAAGCTTTTGCTTATGTAGTGATTCCTCTGTTAAAGATGGACACTTGAATAGAATCTGAAATATCTCTAGGAATTTTGGAGATCTGTAAGATGTTGTACAACAGCACATCTTTTGCTGTAAGTGAACAGGAGTACCTTCTCCAAATCTGACCATTCAGTACAACAGTGTGACTCCCCTTGATTGCTTTTATTTTGATGTTTCAAATGTATTTGCCAGAAATGGCCAAATCTGAGATGGACTGGGATGAGTGATGTGTTCAGATATGAAGAATTGGATACTGTGTATTTCTGTGTGCATTGAGGTGGATGAGACTTTGCTTACTCTTCAAAAAAATTCTTCCCATTTTTATACTAAGTGCTTGCTGATAACAAATTGCAAGTAGTTAGAAGTTTAGTGGCATTTTATTTGACATTGTGAGAGACTGTATCCTTGCTTGTGCGTGGCATTCTGAACATTCAGTTAAAACCTGCCACAGCACTAATAAGGAGAGAAACATTAGAGTTTTCTGAGTTCTCATCTATCTTAATACCCTGTAATCCTATAAAAAAGTTGTTTTCCTTTAGAACAATTTATTATCGACAGTTGTTTGTTCATGCAACAAAGCCCCAAATAGTGCTTCAGGATGTCCTTTAATGGAATTGTTTTTATGGTCAAAAAGACATATCCCTTGGAGCTGTACTGAGCTTGACTAGTTATCTGAACTGATTTTTAGAAGAGATGTGACTAAATTATATTTATAGTTTTTTGCAGACGGATTGTTTAATGCTATTTTCATCGGTATAATCTGGGATGGTTAATCAACTGTTCTTCTTAGTCTTGTTATAAAAAACCGAAAACAACCTCAGAATAGCTTAAAATATTTCTCAATTTCTGAAAATCAAAAGCTACTAAACATAGAATCATAGAATGGTTTGGGCTGGAAGGGACCTTAAAGACCATCTAGTTCCAACCTTCCTGCCACAGGAAGGGACACCTTCCACTAGACCAGGTTGCTCCAAACACCATCCAACCTGGCCTTGAGCATCCAGGGATGGGGCATCCACAGCTTCTCTGGCCAATGTATTCCAGTGCCTCACCACCCTCACAGTCAAGAGTTTCTTCCTAATATCTAATCTTAAATATCTTCTCCTTCAGTTTAAAACCATCCCCTCATTCTATCACTACATACCCCTGATATGCAGTCAGGCTTTAAGGTTGTATGTTATGCAGTCAGGAGTTCCTTCATAAAATTTGTTTTCTATATACACATGGAGTAATTTAACATGTGCAGTTGTATGCCAAAAACCTTTCCATGATCTTAAGGAAAAATGAATTGTGAGTGTGAAAGCCAAACTCGTGACTCCTGGTACTGATATTTTCCTGTGTCAGTGTCCCTCCCCAGCACATGTGCATTCTTCCACAACTTATCTCACTCTTAAAAGACTTCCCAAACCTGTGTAGAATTTTAATTCTTTTCTTGGATTTATTGCAGAAAGTAGTGGGTATTTTAATGGTCTGATGTTAATGCTAGACCAAGTTTATTATGAAAATTCACATAATAGTGTTATGGAGGGAGCAGGAGCATTTAATTGTGTCTTCATTTAAAATTGTAGCTCAGTTTAAACATTTGCAGCATG